TGTGTGTGCCTACGTAGGTATACGTGTACATGGATACACACACATGTACACACTGCATGATATGTATGTGTGTGTATATGTAAATAATATACCAGACAACACACAGTCATATGTCTAGTTACGCATGATTTGGTTATTTCTCCAATATACTGAAGCTGAGGATCCTCTTTTTCTGGTCAGTGATACAGGAATAGGAGATCAGGTCTCGGAGATTTAGTGCCTGTTCAATAGCATTGACCCAAGACTGCTGCATTCAGGAGTGTCTGAAAGCTGCTCAGCAGCAGGTCCCCTGAAGGTTATCACAGCACGGGCTCTAGGGCCTTCAAGGATACCAGGCGCAAGCAGGCACGAGTCACTTACGTTGCGAAGCGTCTAGAGTCTAGATGAACGCCCTGAAAGCCGGAAACGCACCGGTTGAGAAGGCTCAATCCACACCTCGGGTGGTCCAAAGAATGCTTGCAAAAGGTATTCGCACTCTCAGGACAGCCGCACACCTTGCCTGGCGAGTGTCATGGCTTATGCGGCCTCGAGGCTCGACTTCTGTTTGGCTATGACACCCTACGGGTACCTAAGCCAGCTCGACGCACAGTCTACACATGTCTACACCGAGCTTCAATGCAAGCCCATACGCAGTTCGTCTAACCACCTCTTGCTTCCCGAGGGGTCAAGAGCTTTGCTGCCACCTACTCGAATTCTTCCGTGGATCCTCAGATGCAGGCCTGCAGTTGTTGATGCGGCCAATGTTTTCGAGTTTGGGCTGCAACATATCGGGTACGCCCTTCCGCTGTGGTGCCCTACGCATGAAGCCGACCCCAAACACTGCGAGCTCCTCAGTCATCAAGAATCTTTGACACCAGGCTGTGAACTACTTGTCCCACCAGACACATGCAGGAACATGCGGCAGGGTACTTGTGCAGCTCCTCCTGTACCTTCACCACGTCGACTTGCCTCCTCAGCGAGATCTGCAGAGACTTGCCAGCCACCAAACTCTCTAGGGACACGACTTTTTCGGCAGCATCCAATGCCTTCGAACTTGGAGGCTTGCAGGAAACATGAGGGGTACCTGTATGCAGAAATGCCCCAGAGCCAGAATTGATCTCAGGCCCTTTGCTCTTCTGTTGGATGTTCTCTGGATTACCTTGCGCACTGCTGCTGAGGCATGACATACGAGCCTGCTCGGCATCGGATGGGCTCCCACCCTAGCTGCCTGCTGCCCAGGCACGTACCTGCCCTCAGCCGCAGCGAAACGGCAGCCGCCACGCCTGCAACCGGGTGAGCTATTAGTCAGAAACCCGAATCCTGAACCTAACCTAGCTGCTGAGCTACCTCAGTGACGGGTACACTTTCTGCAAACCGTGACTGTCATGCCTGCAGCTTGGCCGGTGACGGTGCAGGCCTGGTGGGACGGCACTGGGAAATGTGCGTGAGGGTCTAAAAGAGAACTTTGCTGGCTTGCGCAGCACTGTCAGTTTGGACGACAGGGATTGAGATTTCCAGCAGATATTGGCCATGCAGGCCGAAATAGAATGCGGGCCAAGCCAAAAGGTCGCTGTTGTGCATCGGGGTTTCGGGGAATGAATGGGGAAACCACGGACTTCTTGCACCCCCTCAACAAGACAGCTCTGAAGTTCAGTCCGGCTGCCATCATGTTGCGCATTGCTGCATGGGAGACTCGGTCGCCCGCTACAGCCTCGGATTCGCGGACATTGCGAACCCACCAGTGCGGGAGTCTTCTTGGAAGCCCCCTATGTAGGCTGAGCATTCGGTGATGTCGCTGCAGTGCCAAGGACCCTGATTAGTCCAGTATCTAGAACTCATTATAATTCATTATATAAGTTAACCAAGTCTTCAACTCCACAGAGCAGTGTCAAGCATTTTCGGCGCGGCGCAGTGAGGCTTTAAGTCAGACCCCGAGACCCTAAACTCGACGCGAACAAGCATCGACGAGAAAACCTTGCAGTGAGCCTCAGGGTTGGATCAGGTTCTGGCAACTTGTCAAAACGATATAGGGGCAGTGGAGGCTCATGTGCTTCAGGGCCACAAGTCCCGCAAAGATGATCCCATGACTGAAGACTTCGACGTTCGCATGCCCGAGATTTTCAGACCTGCATCCTTTGCCGCACCCGGAACCCTGAGAAGAAACACCCGGACACCAGGCAACTTCAAATCATTCAAGCCTATACTCCCCTGTCTCATCATGCCTCATGCCGCTGGACCTACGGCCCTCAAACCCAAGTTCCCAAATCCTTCAGACTGCTTCTGTATCGTCCCAAGCCACGCGCCCTGCCACGAGGAGGTTGTCAACGCCACTCTGAGGCACGAGGCAACCGTAGGGTACCTCAGCTCGGGCTTTGGGTTTCGGGCTAACTGATGGAACAAGAACACAAATTTTGCAGTTCCAGGCTCGACCCCTCCGATTGCGACTGAGGCTTCAAAGGCTAGTTGGAGCGATTTCTCAACATGATCCCCAACTAATCCCAACTACGTAGGCCCAGTTCATGAGCTCTTCGTTCTGAGAGATCCCCAACTATGTGTCCTGACCCAGCCCTGGAGCCATCAATCCACGAAGGCCTCCGGGCCACATCACGAAACGCTGGCTACCAAACCGGAAAGCCTCAAATCTCCCAAGGCAACTGCAACCTGAAGTTCTTACTGGACATTCCGTGAGCGGAATTAAATGCGTCTTTCTCAACCCCTGAAGCCTGAAGCCTCACCCGTCTGGATCTCTTAAACGAAACGAAGGTCTGGAAGCAAGGCCTTCAAGCCTTCGTCGCCCAGACATGAACTGCTGAAGAGGCTGCTTGGAAGAAGCGCCCGGTTGTTGGAAGGATGAGGATGTTGTAACCTGAGAGGATGATTTGCGGTTTACGCTTATGGTGGGCAATTTCCGGGCTTAGGATTTTACGCTTGGCTTGGTTGCGAGGTCGACAAGTTGAGACCTCGGACCGCAACGCGATGGGGGTAATTTCTGGCACAGGGCTTGGCAGCTTGGCAAGCTGACGAATCTGCTTGCGCCTCCCGGACATTAAGAAGGTCACTACATCCTTGTGCCATCGAAGAATCCCAGTGCATCCCAGCATGAATACTAGTTTTATGCTTATGCGACTCCAGCTCCCGAAGATGCACCCGATCACCAAACAACAACTGTAAAGTTCCGTAAACGAACATCCAGTGGTTGGACCGAGCGGCCATCGATGAATTCAGGGAAGATGCCAATGGCGTCTTCAAAGCGTGCTTGATTGCAGACATCCTCACCTTCTCGCGTCAGGCTTGAGGTTTGTGGTCTAGGCCCGGTGGGGGATCATCCGTTCCAATGCAGAGCAGATGGATGTGTTCCCAATGTCGGTAGCAGAAACATTAGACCGTTGGACCCTTACCTGGGTCTAGTCAGCATGGCCTGTCAAGTTGTATCGGCCGACGATCTTTCGCGAGTCGCCTGGAAGGTTGCAGGTACGTAGCTTCTGGCAGAGCTACAGCTACAACTGCCTAAACACAAAACCTATAGCAGGCATCTCATCAACAAATACCGACGCTATTGGAAGGCTGCCCTGAGACGGGTGAGCCTAAGGCTTGAGGTTTCTGGCTATCACGCTGCCAAAGAGAATCTTCAAAGGTTTGGGGCGATCTTTGGTTGAAGCCTCATCGAATTTAGCAATTTTCAGCTGTAGGCTGCTGTAGGCTGCTGTAAGTAGAGTTTGGACCTTCACCTCGCAGGCTTCCGGCAAGACTCAAAGTCCGATACGAAGCGCCGGTCCCTGAACTTCGGAAGATCACAAGCTGGGTCCCAAAGGCGAGTTCCGACCGTCATCGCGAAGTTTCGGAGCTTCGCGTTCCTGGGCTCTGTCCAGCATCGTCCAAACAGCTGTTCAAGGCTGCGGCATGCAGGCTTGGGCTTTATATGGTTTTTATGGTTGGGAGCGAAAGATACAGGCTCAAGCCTCCAAGGACATGTGAACAGAGCGGCAAGCAAGGCATCAACAAGATCTGCCAGGCAGCAAGAACAGTAACTACGAGCACATAGGCAACAATCGAAACATGTGCAAGTAAAAGTAGAGAGTGGTCAAGAAGAACCATGCCCAGGCTCTCGAAGCCAGGCACAGTGTGGCGCAAAGCATTCAAAGCATGCATCACCTGGGTGCGGGTCAAAAACCCGGGAATTGTGGTTTCCATCTGCGGTTTGAGGCTTGCGGTTTGAGGCTTCGGGTCGAAGCCGAAGTGTCCAGAGGCCAACTCCCTCAGATTCGCTCAAGAGCGGAGGAGCCAAGCAATTCATCCTCATGCTTCATCAAAAGCATGCTTGTACTTGTTGCGGTCCGGCTGGCATTGGCACGTCCTTCAATCTCTGCGTCGGTGAGACTCCTGTGCTGCGGCATAGGTCAGGGGATGGCTGTATAAGCAGCTGGACAGCACAAACTTCTGAGCATCAACAGGGGGATCGTCAGGGCATTTCCGAGCAGCGAGCTAGCAGGATAGATGTAACGTGTGTGTGTGTGTGGCAACCTTCCTCGGACGGTAGTCAACTCCGGAACAATCTTAAGCCATGATGCGCAACGACGATAAGTTCCTTCGACTCCTGTGCCATTCGGCACTGGGAAAGCCAAAACTCACCACGCCGAGAAGTATCGGAGGGTGATATATATATATATATATATATATATATATATACACATATATATATATATATACACATATATATATATATATATATATATATATATATATATATATAGAACCGACGCCAAGTTTGAAGCCCAACCCGGGAAGTAAACATGTATAACGAATCTACGAGGCAACCGCAAGCGGACACACCCTCGGGCTTGCATCCGTAAGCACTGATTTCAAGGGAGTGGTCCTGACGCACGTGGCATCCACACCTGCCGGGAGTGGACTCGTCGTTAGCGTTGTGGCTATCGGAACCTTTGTTGTCTAAGTCGCGTCATCACTTGTTCTGAGTTTTGCCAATCCCAGCATTCTCTAACTCGGTCAGGTTGAGCGGAATCATGTGTGCATCTATTGAATGCCTGAGCGTGATGAACGGAACAAGTAGCAACTTGAAGTGCTCCGCCTTGAATGAATCTACCAGCTCAGAAGTCTACTGTTACCCACTATATATATATATATATATATATATATAGGGCTGGGATCGAGCGACCCGGGAGCTGGGTCAGCATTGCCTTTTGCCCCAGTGCAGCTAAGTCTGCACGCCGCACGGAGCCCACGCCATAGCGCCCAGGTCTCCGAACTGGCATAGGAAGCTTCGAGCCTCCCGTGCCAAGGCCCGCAGGCGACTGCGAATTTCCAAGGTTACTGGCCGGCCACCACCTTTGCGTGACGTGGCAATCTTGGCGGTGCACCACTCGTCTCCTTGGAACAAGGTGTACCACATGGGCAAGGAGAAATGGAACCGCGGCCAGCCATCATATGGAGGACCTGGTGCTTCCTGGCACTCGGAGTCTTGGCATGGCAAGGGCTCTGGTTGGGAGAAGGGCCAGAACCCCAGGCGACCGAGAGAGCCCAAGCCGGAAGCAGCCCAGTTCCCGACCTTGGAGATGATGGCCACTACTACACGGAAGCCGCCCACCAAGAAGCCTCTGGAGGAAGATGGCCAGGAGGGCAGCACCGCGGGACGACTCGACATGGGCAAAGTGGTGCAGAAGCTCCTGAATGGTGTCAGGAAAGCGGAAGGTCGTATCCGGAGAGGTGCGGAAGACCGCGAAGCTTTGGAGCAGAAGTGGGCCAACTTCCAACTGGAGCTCAAGCAGTCCTTTGCCAAGGAGCGGGCAAAGTACATGGAGCTGTCCAGGAAGCACGCCGACGACATGGAGGAACAGCAGAAGATTCGCGACGAGGCCCTCAGCGACCTCCAGACTGTGATCCTCACCGGGACGTACAACAAGCCCCAGAGTGGCACGGTGCCGACCGACAGCACTGTGGATGCGGAGTGGGACAAGCTGGTTGGTGGCGACCCGGACGACGAGGCGGACCTCTCCGAGTTGTTGACCAATGCGATCGCTGGAGGTGGATGTTTGAGTACGGCTACGAGGGAGAAGATGCTCAAGCTGATCACCCGACACCATGGCCGACCTCAGCCTATGGAGACACCGGAACGCCGAAGGCGAGGACCACCACCCGCAACGCCTCCCCGACCCACAAGGACTGCACGGGAAGCAGAGCAGGAGCCCATGGACACCAACGAGCCAACCTACACGGGAGACAAGGTCCTGTTGGACCCCTACCAGACTTCCCCCTCGACGAGGCATGCAGGGCCATCGCCAGGCCACGTAACCACCCGATCGCGATCCAAACCACGGGTAGCAGTCAAGGAACAAGGAAAGACGCCGCCGCCGCCTCCTACCGGTTCTTTGCCTCTGTCGGAGAAGTTGGAAGCGGTGAGAAAGGAGGAGCGGCAGAAGGCTACGATCGTCGACTCGGACGACGAGGATGCCTTGATCGCCCACCTGAAGGCTGGGGATACAGCGGGGGACGGCGAAGAGTAGCAAAACCCCTGGCGTCTCGAATCGGTCCCGGGGAAGATACCAACACCGTGAGCTCCGGAGTGAGCGGGCATGGTGTTTGGTACGATTATGAAGCGAGGACGGCCCTCGCGAACCTCATCGTCCTGCAGGGCGGCTTTTTCGGTTCGTCCGCCCTGCCTTATGATGCGCTGGGGATGCCTGCTGACCCCTGTGATAGCAGTCTGCAGGATGAGCGCACAAATTTTGTGGACCTCTTTGACGTCCTGGATTGGCTCTACGGCATCCTCTGGGACTTTGTCAACACTTGGATACCGATGCTTGAAGCAGGGGCCCAAGCTGTGGGAAACACTCTCCGCCTCGGGCTCCTAATCCTTTGCGGGAGTCTACTGATGACGTATGTGCCATGGCACCGCCCCTATGCAAGTCGTAGTGGTCGACCCGCACTGCCAGTCGTCTACCAACTGGTTTTGGTTGCTGCCCTTTGGAGCAGTGCTGGTGCAGCACCTGTATGGCAGGAGCCGCCATACTGGGCCCCACCGTGTCCACGCCCGCGCACTGACCTGGAGCTGTGGGCCGCCGGACAGCTTTCGACGAGAGAGCAGCTTGCACGTGCTCTGTCGAGCACTACCGGAGGCCGAGTTGAAAGCGGTGGAGTATGGCCCACTACGCACTATGACAGAGGACCGCCTCAAGTTAGGGTCGACCCGCCAGACCCAGTTGTTGAGGAGCCGCCAGATGAATGGACAGAGGAACATGAGACTGGCGAGGAGGAGGAGCTCCAGTCCCATCACATCTCCTTTTGGGTTTCGGCGCTTCATGTCCGCCCACAAACCCTAGACGTCGGACTCATGTTCCCGCTCTCGGACGAGAAGATCCGGGACATAGTCGAGGAGCACCTACCAGGCCTCCACCTACCGTGGCTCACGGATATCGTCCAAGTGAGCCCACAGCCCGACCCGGACTTTGGGAGCCTCATCTATGTCCCTGCTTGGGTCCAGCAGTCCGAGGTCAAGGCTGTGATGATCGATGCCAGGCAGGTTGGCAAAGGCATCTTCGTAGCTTATGTGACCTCCCCGGTGAACCGGTACCTCCTCCTGAGTAAGGCAGAGATCATCTTCACCAGCACGGCAGAGATCTTTGTCGGAGGGTCTGGGGTACCGATGGCCCACACGAGCCAAATCCCAGTTGACCAAGGGTGTCTGATACAGATACTGCCTGCGGCCCAGGCAGTCACATGGCATGGCGAACTGAGGGATAGATATGCCCACCCGAGCCGATGGCGGCCTGACACTGAGCACCCAGCCCTTCTACCAGGCCGCTTCATTCAGTTCCAATCAGAGGCCCAGGTTGAGACCTATGGGCCCTGCCGGAGGGGAACTGGGCTACCAACGGAAGTGGCAGCTGAGCTCTTTGACATGGACCCTGAGGACTTCTGGCTCCGAGCCCCGACGGACAACCCGGAGAGGCTGTGCACGAGAATGCAACGCCTCCACTCCATCATTGCGGTGGTGCCGCACTGCGATTATGTCAAGGCCAGAACTCCAATTGTGTTCATCGACCTTCGTCCTGTGGGACTTTGGCCTCAGTGGGCGCCCACGGAAAATGGTGTATTCCACCCTGGGAAGTTCATCCAGGACCTCCAGATCCGAGTAGTCGAGGGCTTCGTGATCACGGTCGAGGGAGGTCGCAGACATGGGGTTGATGGCGAGCTCAAGGTTCAGGATGGGGAAACACTTCGTGTGCTACTGCAGTCTAGCGGAAACTCCCCTGGCCGAGAAAGACACCCCACGACGGATGATGAGGAGCCCAGTGAGGACCATGATGACAGCAGCTCAACGCGAGATGCCTTACCTGACTCCTCGGATCTTTCAGGGGGCTCCCCATCTCGAGGGCCGGGCCCCTTTGGCCCGCCTCCACCGGAGCCGGTGAACCGTCCCCGGAGCAGGTCGCCTCGTCACCGGACCGAGCAGAACTTGCCCGCTGCCCGGAGGTTACAGTTAGCAGATGTCATACCGGTGCAGACCTTCGACTTGACCAAGCAGAGCCTCACTCTGCCCCGGGTACCAGAGAGCTGGACGACCCGGCAAGCACCATGGCCATTGAATTGGTTCAGGCCAGATCTTACCAAACTGCCACTCAAGCCGGCCACAAGGAAGGGGCTTGAGGACGCGATCAGTTGTGAAGACCTCCTTGCGAGACCCCGGGCGAGCGGGGACCTTACAATTTGCCTCTACACCGATGGCTCAGCTGACCAGGGCCAGCAGAGGAGTGGATATGCCGTCACGATACTCCTCCGTCTTGGTCTTGGAGCTTGTGTCGCCGTATATGGCCTGCTTACCGAGCAGTTGCTCGGCAATGGGGGGTCCCTTTGGCCTACAGACGCACCAGCCGCCCTTCGTGCTGAGCAGGTTGCGATCGTAGCGGCAATGCTTTGGGTCCTCCAGTTTCGCGCCTTCACAAATGAGGTCTCATGTAAGATCGTCTTCGACTGCATGGCCGCCGGTTATGCAACAGACGGTCGGTGGCAAGCGCCCGATGAGTTTGGTGCACAGGCCCACCTTTTGGAACTTTTCCTCAGGGAGCAACCGGGCCTTTTGTTATCCTTCGATCACATCAAAGGCCACAGTGGAGATGCTTGGAACGAACTCTCGGACGTGGCAGCGAAGGAGGCGGCGAGAGGCGTATGCCCTTACGGAGCCCCGCCAACAGAGGTCAGCCAGGAGTTCCTCTCTACTGACCTGTCCTGGCTGGCTGCGGAGACCCGAGCAGGGGTGAGCCGTGCCCTGCCCATCTCTACTGGCCAACTTGTATGGGACGAGTACCAAGATGATGGTTACCGGTTAACTGCCGAGCAGCTTGTCCCGGTGACCCCAGCCACATCAGCCCGCCAGGGGCACTCCTACCCGGACTTCTATGTCAAGGCGGGTACTCTCAATGTCCAGGGCTATGGTGGTCTATGTCCGTACATTGAGAGGCAGCTTGATGAGGCGGACTTCAACATTGTGATGTTTCAGGAAACCAAGGCCCCGCCGGGAATTGTACGGACCAAGCGCTACCTCAGACTCGGCACTGAGTCACTTAGCCGATGGGGTGTAGCCATATGGGTGCATAGAACAAAGGGCCTACTTCGGATCGGCGACAGACCGTTGCTGGTGGACGAGCACGACATCACTGTTGTCATCGAAAACACCAGGCTGCTCATTCTTCATGTACGAGCTGCAGGGGTCAGTGTGTTCCTGGTTTCAGCCCATTGCCCCTATGAGGCCAAGAATGGTGAATGGACTGAGTACCTCGGCGAGCTCGAAAAGAGCCTCCGATGCATCAAAGGTGCGGACTTAGTCCTTCTGGGAGTGGACCTCAACGGCAGAATCCCTTGTGGTGTTGCAGGTACCACGGGGGACCGCACAGTGGGACCACCTGATGCCATTGGTCGTCGCTTCGTCCAGATCCTTGCGAAGTATCGCCTCTGGGCGCCGGCCACCTTCAGTCATTTGCATCAAGGGGAAGATCATACCTTTGTCCACCACACGGGCAGCCAGCACAGGATCGACTATCTCATCATTGGGGGTGGTGCAGCATGCCTTCGTGCTGAAAGCTTTGTGTGTGAGGAGTTCGACACAGGGGCCCCGAGAGAGGACCACAGGCTCGCCGGGGTTTCCATACATGGCGCCTGTCGAGCTTTCAAGCCCCGAGCGGCCCTCTACCGGCCAACCTTTGATAGGGGCAAGATCATGTCTGCTGAGGGCAAGAGGATCCTGGAACAGGCATGCGAAGAGTTTGTGCAGCCGGATTGGTCCATGTCGCCTGATCAGCATTACCAGGTGATTCAACAGATGTTGCAAGACACCCTGCAGCAGCATTTCCTCCTTGACCGGGCCTCCGCCCGGGCAACTTTCATGCCGGCAGAGGTTTGGCAGCTGCGGGAAGCTAGGCAGCGACTGAAGCGGCTTACTCGGGGCCGAATCACCCTATGGGATGACCTGGTGGCCTGGGCTTTCCGGCAGCTTCATGATGGCAAGGATCGGGGAATGACAAACCTCGTCGCCAAACAAGGCCTGCTCTACCAGCTGTCTGCGGCGGCTATCCGATTTGCTTCGACGCGGATCAAGAGAGGCTTGGCCAAGGCGAGGCAAAATTTTTTGCGAACGGTGCTTTTGGAGGGACACCAGGGTTCGTCGCAAGTCCTGCGGCGAACTAAGAAGGCTGGCTTGGGCGGAAAAGCTACCCAAAATCGCTGCCGACCTCTCCCGGCACTGCTAAGCCCGGCCACTGGGGCTCCTATTGGAGACCGTGCAGGCCATGACCAGGTGTGGCTGGAGCACTTTGGAGCACAAGAGCAGGGAACAGTGCTCCCCACCAGCACTTTCATTGAGGAGGCTGCCCAGCCGATCCCTTGTGATGAAGTGGAGTGGAGCCTATCATACCTGCCAAGCCAGGCGGAGGTCCAGAGCCTTCTTCGAGCGGTACCCCGTGGAAAGGCGGCCGGTTTGGACAATGTGCCGGGCGAAGTCCTGGCATCGGCCCATGCCGGTTTGGCCCCTATCCTGCATACCCTGTACACCAAGGCCATGGTTCTCTCAAAGCAACCAACGCAGTGGCGTGGAGGCATCTTGTTTGAGGCATACAAGAACGCTGGCCCGGCAAGCGATGTGGAAAACTTTCGAAGTCTGTTTGTGAGCAGTACTGTTGGGAAGTGTTACCACAAGCTCGTTAAGAGCAAAGTGCAGGATCGAACACAGTGCTCACTACATCCGCTTCACTGCGGACCCCGCCAGCGAGCCCCAGTCCTGTTCCCTGAGCTCTACATCCTCTCGCATGTGCGCAGGTGCTGCCGGCAAGGTCTGAATTACGCCATACTGTACCTCGACACCAAGAGCGCCTACTACAGCATAGCGAGGGAGTTGGTCACCGGTGACATTAGGAGAGATTCCACTGTCATCGAGATTTTTCGTCGGTTCCATTTGGGGCCAGCGGAGCTGCAAGAGCTCATGCAGTTGGTTACCTCTGGTGGAGCCATGGCGGCAGCTGACGTCCCGCCAGCCCTCCGACAGACGATCCGGGACTTGCACCACGCCACGTGGTTTACCACGAGGTATGCAGATGGGACTCAAGTCTGTCAGACCCTAAAAGGGTCTCGCCCTGGTGAGAGCTTTGCGGACACAGTATTCGCTTTCATCTACAGCAAAATCCTGTGCTCGATCTACGAAGCGGCCACGGCGGAGGACCTTGCGTTCACCTTGCCCTTCGACCCGGAGACGGGACCCTTTGGCACCGGAGAGGGCTCTAGCGACCAACCCTCTTGGGACGCCACCTGGGCAGATGATAGTGCCTTCCCTACTGCAGCCCGGGATGGTGATGAGCTGCTCAGGAAGACGTGCCGTCTTGCGGCAGTTGTGCTGGGCACGTGCCAGGCAGATGGATTGATCCCGAACATGAAGGCTGGAAAAACAAGCCTGATGATTGGGCTCAGAGGTAAGGGATCCTTGCGAGTGAAGCGCCGGTATTTCAGTGGCGGGTCCCCGGTGCTGAAGATTGATGAACTCGGGGAGGAGGTCCATGTTGTTCCTCACTACAAGCACCTGGGTGGCTACCTGGACACGAAGAACTCCATGATGATGGAAGCCAGGCACAGAATAGCACTCGCCACCCAGGCCTACGACTCTGCGGGAAAGCTCTTGTTGAATCGCCGAGACTTGGACATGCCAGTTCGGATGGGCATCTTCAACTCCGTTGTCACGGCATCGCTTTTCAACATTGCCCTGTGGATTGAGGGTGGCAAAGCATGGTGTGCTCTGGACAGTGCATACTCGAGACTGGTCCGCAGACTCCTGTGTACCACCATCCGTGGGGAGCGTTTGTTCCGTGTACCCACACCTCTGGCCCATGCAGCCTCGGGATGCTGGAAGCTGGCCCTGGTTGCCCGTAGGGCGAGGTTGAGTCTGTTGGCATCCCTGGCAGCGAGTGGGCCCGACCTTCTCTGGGCTGCGCTACAAACCGAAGGTGGTTGGCTGCGACAAGTCTGCGAAGACCTACGTTGGTTTGTGGAAGGTGACAGCGATGGCTGGCCACTTGTGCATGGTGCAGCCTGGCCACAGTGGAGAACCATCTTGAGGGAGCGTCCTGGATGTTTCAAGCGTAGGGTGAACCGGAAGCTCAAGGCAGCACATGTGGCCACATGCGACCAGGATCTGGTGATGGTGTGCCACTGGGCCATGTACCGGGCCCTCCAGAGCGATGACTCCGCGACCACTACTACCAGCGTGTGGAAGTGTTGGGCCTGTGATGTTATTTTCAGTAGCAAGGCGAAGCTCGGAGTCCACCTGTTCAAGACCCACCAGAGGATTGCCGAGTACCGACATTTTCAGAATGGAACGTGCTGCGAAGCATGTGGCAAACAATTCTGGTCAGGAGGCCGTTTGGCGGCTCATTTGAGAGCCTCCGTGTCGTGTGTCCGAACACTCCGACGAAGAAGGAGAGTTGTGGAGGCCGTCCAGCCAGGCTTTGGTAGCCGTGCTAGGCGAAAGGACGATGCTGCGAGCTACACGATGTCGGCGCCTGAAAGCCAACGCCCCCCTCTGGAATGCACCGAAGAGGAAAGGTGGTTTGGGCCCCAGAAGCAGCTGTACGAGACGGTCTGTGAGGCTGCCTTTGAGGTCTCCGATGGTGCGACCTTCAAGGGGAAGATCCTCGAAGCGGTCAAGCAGTTTCCCGTGTACCCGGCCGAGATCAGCGAGGTCTTTGATGCCGTTACTGCGGAGATTGCTGAGCTCAACAGAGACCCGGATGATCGACCGTGGGCCCCAGCTCTCGCGGAGGCCATGCAGTCTGCATGTCGTGAGATGATCGCCGAAACCCAAAGTGAGACTACCACAGCTGCAGGTCGCGAAGCTGGTAGCGGCTACGACGAGTTTCGGCTGCAGTACAACACGATTGACTGGAGCGAACAAATTGGGCGACGGCATTCCCTACACGGGACCCGGGCACGCTCCTTGTTCATCCTGACTGACCTCTGGGAAGCTGAGTGGAGGAAAGTTAGGGAGGAGCTTGCGTACTCAGCCGTGTTGGACGAGCCAATCGAGCTGCTTCCAAAGCCTCTTAAGGATGCCTGGCTGACGGTTTTGGAAGGCGGCGAAGTCGCCATTAGAGCGCCGAAAGCGTTCTGGGGCCACCCTCTGGCCGGGCCTTTTCGCCCAATGAGGGCAGAAGTGCAACCAAATTAGGCAGCGTACTACCTCTGATTGCAAGGAAAATGGAAAAATATATATATATATATATATATATATACCTCACTTCAGACCTAGCCGACCTAACCCCTAGCCTTCTCGTTCCCTCCGGACCAAAACGGGTTCGGCCGCTCCCGAGCCTTTCTTGTGGACCAGGTTCAAATTCGTGGCTTCGCCAGCTTCGGACAGAGCTGACCAGGAGCCTCACACGGCCATCGAGCTCGCAAGTCTGCCCCGCGAAGAACGCCTTATCGCTAAAGCTGCACGTGCACTCAATCGCATGGAAGTTTCAGCATGACCAGCATAGCCCGTCTAGACTCTGTAGCGCTGAAACCCTCAGAACTCCACGGCCACCACATCCCAAGACCGCATGACATTTTTGCTGGCAGCCGTGGTGCCGCCAAAACTCTGCAGTTTCTGCTGCGGGATCACGCCGGCCTCCGAGGACCGCGCTGCATACCGTGGCAACGCTATACTCATGCCATTTTCGTACCGTAGTGCCATGATCTTATTCATTACCAGCCGCCTCTGACGTCGATTGCAAGAAATTTCAGGCATTCAGGAAGCGGGATTCAGGGTTCTAAGTTGTTGGGCTGGTGAGTCGCAAGCATGCCCTTTCTCACACATAGTTGGAGTGATCCGACTCCAGCTGACACCAGTGCTCATGTTTACAGTCGGATTGGGGTCCAAGCTGCACTGTGGCGTCGGACTTTGAGTTTGGGCTTGCTCAGACTCGTAGTCCAAAAACACCTCAACCCTACAAATCACCGCCCTGGGGTTGAGGGACTGTTGCTCGCGTTGCCTCCGCAGCCTTCTCGAACTCGCGGTCCAAATAAGGGGACTTGAGGTGCTCCTGCAAATGCAGTTTTGAGGATCTGAAATATTGGAGGTCTCTGGTCCGCCAGGATCAGGGAATTAGCAGAGCATGTCAGCAGTTCGGTGGACCGGGGGGGGGGGGGGGTAGAGGAAAAACGCCAAGCTCCAAAACAGTAAACCTACTGCTGCGCACATCGAACTTTAAAGTCGCTCTTGGACTGGATCACAAAATATGCGTCCTGGGGCAAGTATTGAACACTGCAGCAACAGCCCACCCCCTCTCGCAGCTGGTGGGCATACGTCCCTCATCGAGCTGTTCGGCTTCCCTCGAAAGCCAGGCCATCTTCACATGCCCGATCCAAGCTGCACTGCAAATCGTGAATCCTAAGCGTCCCAACCTCAAAGTCCACCTACCGCAGGCATCCCAAGCTCCAAAACGAACCCTACGCCCTTCACCCTTCTGCTAATTAAAGGGAAGTCTCCAAGATCCAGAACCCAAAATCCTCAGAACACCAAAGCCGCAGCTCCCACATGCCTCCTTGCCCGATGTTGTCTGCTCCCAGGTCCGACTCCAGTCCTTGTAGGTCGCCGGGTTCCTTTCCGCTCCAAAGTTAGGGCTCCGGGTTCAGTAGAGCTTATTCGGGTTGAATCTTGTGGGTTTCCAGGGGTCTTCTAAAGCTTGGGCTTTTTGGCTTTCATGGCTTTCGGAGGGGTCTTGGGGATTGTGGCGCTTCAGGGTTTACGCGATGGTCTTTGGCCTTGTTCATCCGCTTCGGTCCTTGCTCCTCCTGAAATCATGCTTTAGGAATGCTTGCTCGTCCTGAGTCATATAACTTGCAAAAAAACCAGAGAACGAGAGAGAAAGAGAGAGAGAGAGATCGTAAACCAACTTGCGCCACATCTTTAAACCTTTCCGGCGACTCAGCGACCTGAGGCCTTGGAAACGCTCTGATGGGACTGGATGAAACATGTATGAAACATGTGGCGAGCCTCGACCTTAAACCCGCAAGGATCCAATGCCATCTCGTTCCGAATCGTCAACAAGCCCGTGTGCAATAAATCCACCACCGGAGCAACAACACCCTGGCTCCCCAACCTCGTTCTCCAGTCGCTTCCAAGTGTCTGCGATGTGTACTCCCTGAACTTTGGAACGTCAATGTTGACAGCATTGAAAACCTGATATCAGTGTAAAGCTCGTCGAGGGCTGCTTGGCTGAGTGAAAGCTGGTGTTTTTAGGGCTTCGGTATCTGAGTATGATGTCTGTGCGGCCGTGGCTGCGCTCTCAAGACTTCAACCTGAAACTCGATTACCGATAGGTTGGCTTCCCGTGCAGTAGAAAATGGCGTCGTTCTGCGACTGGGTTGCCACCATCCAAGAGAGCAGACGAAGACTCAAAGCTGAGCTGTTCCTGCTAACGGGGTTGAGCTTTGAACCACCTCAGCTGCCCGAAGCCCTGCGATATGCTTCCCGGATACCGTTGTCACGCCAAGAGAGTTGTTGACGTCAATCACGGAGTACCTTGTGGGCTGGTTGCGCATATTTTGAGGGAAACCTAAGACCCAAGCCTACCCATCAGCGAACTGGAGCAAGGGCGCGCCAACACCAAGGGAGAGCTGAACAATACGAGTCCTGCCTATGGATATCGGGCCCGCCGAAAAACACTAACAATTGACTATATGAAGAACGTAGGGCGAATATTAGTAGCGGGTGAAAAGCGTAAGAAGAAACTTAAGGGCTGCCAGTTAAGCCTGAACTCCAAGGTTGATGCCCTGCACTCCAGGCGCCTGACCTAGGAGACACAAAGAGCTACGGTAGAGCTTTTTATGCTGAGCATACAAGGCCTCGTGAAGGAGCAGCAGTAGTACTGTAGTATTCATTGAGGTCACAGACCTAGGGTACACCGAAGTCTCGGAGACCCATCCACCAAACTCAGCGACACCCTTCGTCCGGAATGGCCCAGAAGGGAAGTCAAAACAATGCCATGCCTTATATGTTAACCTTGAACGTGCAAGCCTCCTCCTCCCGATCCCAAATCTTCCCAAATTCGGCCGCAGACACGGGCAACCTGCCAGGTGCGCCACATCGGCATCACCTGACTCAGCATTATTCAACCTTTTGCACTCCAAGAACGAACCGCGATAATGGTGAGGTTGGTTTATGAGTCAGCTCCTCTTAAAACACCGGTTTGGAGTAATGGTGTTTCAGGAAACCTGAGCGAAGTGTGGCTGTTCAGGTGGCATGAATCTGAACAAGTCCGTGGCTAAGCGGCGTGCAAAGTGCAGCCTTGAGGTCTCGTGAAAAACCGGCTTCAGGGTGGAGCCCAGGTCCCAGGGAGCCTCGGCCCTGGAGTACGTCGCTTCTTCCACTAGTTCTACGGCGCCGTAAACCCTGACCCGAAACCTTGCCCGCGAACCCTGCGTACCCATTAATGTGTATAGACTTCAGCACTGTCACTCGCATAAAGGCATGTCATCATGCCATCCCAAGACCGTCGAACTCATGTTGTTCTGCTCGCATAAACCCAATGAGCCCTCTTCAAAAATGCCCCGAACATGTAGATACTCCGCTGAAGCGCCAGCATGTTATCAAGACCCCAGGACTCCACGCCATTCCGCGCCTGCAACCTACGCTCCTACACCCTGGACTGGACCCTGTTATGGACGACAATCGCTGCACCTGCATCCTAAACTCGCTGCCGCCTGCCTGTGCAGTCAATGATGCGCTCGGCTAGAATAGCATTTCCTTGCGGACGCATGGTCGGTGGCATCTGAGTTTTGCATGTTCCGGTGTATGTTTGAGGCCTTGGGGTAGAAAACCTTTTCTCGGATTACCAGACCCAGCAGAACTTGATGATTCAAGCCCTGCGTCTGACTCTTGCAAGCTACTGCTCGAAGCTGCGAAAGACAAGTTCTTCAAAAGCATTTGTCAGCACTGCCGCATTGCCCAGTTCCGGCAAGTGTCGGCCAGACTTAGACTCAGTCAGCACGCCATAGATCTCGTTGTTGGAGTTAATGAGGGCCTGGACATCTTGGCATCTGTCAAGCTCAAGCTTTCTGCAACAGCTTTCCAATGATCGATAGCAGCAAGTCCCCAACAAGCAACACCGTTGACGGGGGATACTCACACAGAATCGTGACATGAAGGATCAGAAACCAAGGCTCTGCTTGTGGTATCGTGCTTGCAGGCGTGCAAGCAATAACATTCATGAGGATTCTTCAGACGTGTAATACGACACGCACTCAATCCCAAAGCCTTCATGATCGATCTAGTGAAGATGCTGACGAAGAAGTGCGCGGGGCAAGCTACTGAAGAAACGTTACCCTACGCCCGTGCAAGTTTGCGGACTTCGTCCTTGCCAGGACACTATTGCGACAGGCATAGCCCAAGAACGATGATAACCCCTCATGGCCAAGAGCCTCCACCACCCAAATGTGCAGGATCGGCCGGACACCGGACTCCTGAGGTGCAGAAAGCACCAGCGGCAGCACTAGCAGCAGCCGCAGCAGCACTACAGTAGCAGCCCGAGCAAGAGGAAGTCCGAGAAGCAGGAATTGCAGCAAGAGGAAGGAGCACAAAGCAATATCTGGCAGGCTGCATATTCGTGATGGGAGCATGCTAACTCAAGTCCTTGATCAAGTTGTCTGCCACGAGCTTAAACTTCTCCTGGGATAAGTGCAACCACAGGCTTCAACCGGAGCTTGGTTCGGGCATTAGTCCTAAACTCTAAACTTTCAGGAAATTCCTGCCTTGTCCACTCTACAGCTCTCTCTGTTGCTTTTGTGAATCCGAAGCCGGTTCTACAGTCCCTATATTCCTACATTATCAACATGGAATACTCCTCTGGGCAATTTTCGTCCCCAACCAAAACGGGCAGAGCTGAGCTGCAGCGTCAAGGCAGTCTGAATCGTTGTAGGGCCACCTCGGGTGTTCTAACGTCAAAGCAGTGGAGCGAGAGCTGCGAGAGCTGCAGGCTCCTGGTCCCCAAAGGCCAGTGGAAATCCCCAGCTAAACGAAAGCCACGAACCTGGACGCTTCAAGTCTTCGGAATTCGGCTTGAAGGGTGCCCCAATATGCCCAAGATGTTGCAAAGACCAGACTACACTTTGTTCCGAAAATGGAACAGATGTCTCCACAATCATAACTTAGAAATCGCTCTGCTCAATATTGGTGGTATGCCACAA